TTAGGGTTCAGGGTTTAGGGACTAGAAGCCGTAAAGCACTGAACCCGGACTAGGGTGTCTAGGATTCAGGGTTGAAGTCTTAATCTTCAGATCACGAAGCCACAACGGTCCAACACCATATGAAACGTTTTCCCAGAGACTCTCAAACCTACGAATGGTATAGGACGTAGTCTCTAACTTCTAGTAGAGAACTTGATAAGGGATCTCGACCAACAAGATCTTGAACCCTCGAAACCGCTCTGGAACCACAAATGAGAAACCCCACAAGCCTGAACGCGCACAAAACCTTAGCTCTATAAGGGACCCTCACTGCAACTGCTTTTGCAAAGTTGCAAAACCCTGAACCCTCTACCCTGCCTGCAGCCCAGAACAACCTACCTCTTTCAAGAGTATGTAATTAAAGAAACCACAACATGGATCCCCAAAGTGGGAGCTGGGATTAGGGGGACCCTTGGGGATATTGACCCTCTCAATAAGGTCCCTTTTAAGAAGGCCAAAAGTAGGATTCAGAAGGGGTACCCTCTAAGGGGTACTCCTAATAATACTACCTACAAAGCTGTTCCAAGTAATCCCTGAAATTGCTGCAGGTCTCCTCGAGGGAGAGTGCACCACTGCCATCGGCGTCCATCGACGCACAGAGCTTGGCCAGCTCTACCATGTTCTTAGCGCGATCCTGCCCCAAGACGGGTTCAGGGTTTAGGGTTTTAGGGCTTTAGGGTTTTAGGGTTTAGGGCTTTAGGGTTTAGGGTCAAGGGCAGTTTAGAGTCAGGTTCTTAGCACGATCCTGCCCCAAGACGGGTTTAGGGTTTAGGGTTTAGGGCTTTAGGGTTTTAGGGTTTAGGGTTTAGGGTTTTAGGGTTTAGGGTAAAGGGCAGTTTAGAGTCAGGTTCTTGGTGCGATCCTGCGCAAAGCAGGGGCGACGTTTTGGGCTTAGGGTAATCAAGGCTCAACATATCTTTACCAGACGCTGCCCATACGTGAAGGGTCTCTCGTTGAAGGGTTCTCATTAATTACAAAGCTTTACTACTTGGGTTTCTAAGTTGTTGCAGAAGGGTCTAGAGTTTTAGGGTTCCTTTAAGGGTTCCTAAGTATCTATGTAGCAGAAAATAGGGTTTCTAGATCAGGAATCCTTATTATGATTTGTAAAAGTATCCCCCATAACAGCACCTAGTACCCTCTGGGGAACCCTGTAGAAGCCTTCTTGAACCCTGATAGCAACCCCAGAGCAATAGCAGTAGTTGTGATTCAGGCGTCGTGTCACAGTGTGGGGGTCATGTCGATGGCGACTTCAAGGCATAAGGGCAATGGCAATGTAGGCGCCTGGTTTGAGCAGGGGTTTGAAGGGTTTAGGCAAGGGGGGTCTGACAAAGTTTCAACAGTGTTTGGTTTAGGGGGTATGATCATAGCTTGATCGTAATCGGGATGATAGGGGGATGCTCTTGTCTTACTAACCATTTGGACCTTTCTTGCAAAGCATGCGTGCAACAGCCTTCAGCGTCGCCCTCCGAATCCCCGGGATCCCTTTAAGCCACAGGGGGCTGTTGCTATTGGGACCTGGGACGCTGCGGATACGGGCACACCCGAACCCCCAAGCCTGAAACGGATACTGATCAACAGCCACCAGCTAAGAGTAAAACACCTGTTGAAAGTTCACGATACGGCCTGTTCCTTCTTCTTGAGCTTCCGCTCCTGTTGGGGCTTTCAGGGGCGGAGTATAGTCCCCACTTGAACCCTACACCCTAAACCCAAAACCCAAACCCTAGACCCTAAACCCTAAACCCTATAAAGCCTGAAGCCTAAACCCTAAACCCTCAACCGGCGTCACCGAAACTCAAATCGTAAACTAAAGGCCCTAGTGCCCCGAACTCCAGGCCTGAGGCCTCTTGGGTTTGTGACATGCCTGTTTAGAGTTTAGGGTTTAGGGTTTAGGCTTCAGGGTTGAGGCTTTAGGATTTAGGGTTTAGGCTTTAGGCTTTAGGGTTTAGGATTTAGGGTTTCAGGATTAGAGTTAGGCTTTAGGGTTTAGGCTTTAGGGCTTCAAGGTCTGGGAGCCGGCAGTCCCAAGTTTCCGGCCATCCCCTTAAAGAGGAGGCGAGGACCGCCCAAAACCCTGCACCATGAAACCTAAAACCTAAAACCTAAACCCTAAACCCTAAACCCTAAAACCCAAAACCTAAACCCTAAACCCTAAACCCTAAAACCTAAACCCTAAAGCGCGAGCACCTTCGGTAACCCACTGCAAAAGCCCTAAACCCTAAACCCCAAACAAACAAAGGGGGGCTGATGGGGATCTAGAGTCTCTGAACCATTGAACTGCCAACCTGATGTGCGGAACCAGCTGCATTGCGTAAGGGTTCAGGGTTTAGGGTAAGAGTTTAGGGTTTAGGGTTTAGGGTAGGAGTTTAGAGTGTAGGGTTTAGGGTTAGGGTTTAGGGTTTAGGGTAAGAGTCTAGGGTTTAGGATTTAGGGTAAGAGTTTAGAGTGTAGGGTTTAGGGTTAGGGTTTAGGGTTCAGGGTAAGAGTTTAGAGCTTAGGGTCTAGGGTCTAGGGTTAGAGTTTAGGGTTTAGGGTTGAAGCCTACACACCAGACCCCTAACAACCCCTAAAGCCGTGTCCACAAGCCCACACGCCCCCGTCCCCTAAACCCTAAACCCTAAACCCTAAACCCTGTGCACCAAACAGTGGAGACCAGCACCCGGTGATCCTCTTCAGTCCAAATGCGGGCTTGCTCCAAGGTTTAGGGTTCAGGGGTTTAGGGGTTTAGGGTCTAGGGTTTATGTAACTAGGGTTTAGGGTTTAGGGGATTGCGGGTTTAGGGTTTAGGGTCTAGGGTTTATTTAACTAGGGTTTAGTGGTTTAGTTTTTTTTTTTAGCCGGGCGTTTTCCCTCGGGGTTTAGGGCTTAGGGTGCTCTAGCGATTCCCGACAGCGTCCTCTTGGTCGGGGAGCATCACAGTGCCAGAATTTAGAACAGCAGTGGTCAGGGTTTGGGTCGCATAGAACATCCCTACACCCTAGACCCTAAACTCTAAGCCGCAAATCCGAAACCCGAGACCCTAAACCCTAGACCCTAAACCCCAAACCTTATCATAAACCTAAACCCTAAACCCTAAACCCTAAACCCTAAACCCTAAACCCCGCAAGCCTGGAAAGATTCTCTCTCCAGCGGTCCTGATCATTTGCTCTTGCCTCTGAAGCTCTCTCAACAATCACCTGGACGAAGAGATGAGCCATCAAGACGGAGTCTCTTGCTATCGCCTAAAACGCTATACAAACACCGCATGAACCCAATAAATATTCCAGATCAGCTGTTTTTCGGGGGCTGTGCACGGTTTGGGTCATTGGGCCTTCCGGGCTGTTGAACATTGTCGGATGAAGCCATCAGCTGGCTTTGACGCTTTGGATTTGGTGTGCGCTTGATAGGGTGCTGAGTCCTCACACCGACATGCACAGCCCGACGGCTCTGTTTCGGCACGGTTGATGGACAAAATCCTGCATGACCTTTTATACCTAAACTATGGGATTTATGGTACTTTACTATATTTGGGACAAAATCCTGCATGACCTTTTATACCTAAACTATGGGATTTATGGTACTATACTATATTTGGGTCATGCAGAATTTTGTCCATCAACAGCAGTAGCACATTATAGGCTCTCGTACACCTGGTCTGGCTGACGGCGGCACAGGGGGCTGGTGAACATGTTGAGCCCGAAGAAACAGAATCCGAAACCGACACCACCTACGGTGTGTATACCTTGCAAAAAGATAGAAAGTTTCAGATGGAGAGAGTCGATAGCTGATGGCACATATGCTTTCAGACTCCCCTTTCAACACCCTGCAACTGCATGATGACGTCCACACCCTAAACCCTAAACCCTAAACCCACGGTTTTACTTTCAGTTGTTCCGGCTGCAAGAAAACAGCTCTAGCCAGATAAATCCTTGACGTTCGATCTTCCGATGGTGAACTCAATACGGTTGTTAAGGTGAGGCAAACCCTAAACCCAAAGCCCCTAATTAAACCCTGAATTCAGACCCTAAGCCCTAAACCCTAAAACCCTAAACCCTAAACCCACAACCCTAAACCCTAACCCAAAACCCTAAACCGTCGCAACCCAAAACCCTAACCCAAAACCCTAAACCCACAACCCTAAACCGTCGCAACCCCTGCATCTCAAGTCTCAAACCCGAGCCGGGTGGTGCTTGAGCCGGGCAGCGGCTAGGATGAGGTTCCTGGGCTTTGCAGGGACTCATGGGGCTTTAAAGTAGCTTGGGCTCAGGGCTTAGGGCTTAGGGCTTAGGGTTTAGGGTTTAGGGTTTCGGGTTTAGGGTTTTGGGCTTAGGGTTTAGGGTTTAGGACATCTTACCTACAGTCTCCTTGTAGTTCGTTGTGTTGGTTTTTGCCAGTCATATATTAAGGATTTTTGAAGGGTGTCCTCAAAAAAAGAGCCACAATGGAGACTATAAGTAGTTTGGCTTAAGGTTTAGGACATCTTAGGGTGGCCGCACTTTAAAATCCCAGGACAAAAACCCCAGAATCCCAGAACTACCCACCACCCCTTATCAACAACCAGAGGCGCCCTGTCACTTTAGGGTCGCAGCTGCGCAACCCTGCAAAGCAGTGAAACCCTAAACCCTAAATCCTAAACCCTAAACCCTACGTCCCAAACTCTAAACCCTAAATCCTAAACCCTAACCCTAAGTCCCAAACCCTAAATTCTAAACCCTAAACCCAAAGTCCCAAACCCTATACCCTAAATCCCAAAGTCCCAAACCCTAAACTCTCGGGGGCCCGCGGGGAAACTCCAGGGCTCCAAAGTTGTTGGCTGGTTTTTCTTATCATCGTTAAGTCTTTCCCCCCTGCTGTAGGGTTTAGGGAAACCTCTAACGCCGGTAGAGTTTAGGGTTTTAGGGTTTAGGGTTGAGGGTTTAGGGTTGAGGGTTTCGGGTTTTAGGGTTCAGGGTTCCCCTGATTGAACCTGAAGTACGTGACTTTCCCTGATAAAACAACACAAGACCCCTAAAGCAACTCGCAGGGGACCAACACCAAACCCTAGACCCTAAAACCCTAAACCCTAAACCCTTAAAACCCTAAAACCGCAAACCCTAAACCCCAAAACCCTAAGCCCCCAAAACCCTAAACCGAAACCCTAAACCCCAAAACCCTAAACCCCCAAAACCCTAAACCCCTAAAGCCCTAAAACCCCAAAACCCTAAACCCCAAAACCCTAAACCTTTAAAACCCTAAAACCCCAAAACCCTAAACCCCTAAAGCCCTAAACCGTCTCGGAAGTTCGAGGGCTGCGGGTTTAGAACCTCGCAACTACTATAGGGGCCTTAACAACTAGAATAGGGTGTAGGGTTATAGGTTTAGGGTTTAGGGTTTAGGGTTTAGGGTTTAGGGTTTAGGGGTTTATCTTATTATACTATATAGTTACAATAAGGAACCCTAAGGAATAACATTGGCAATTATTTAGGCTCCTATATTATACTCTTTGGTTCAGGGTTTCGGGTTCAGTATCCCTGCACCGATATGCTGAAGCTCAGGCCAAGCGGCATGACACCCAGGGACACGGTCATCATGATCATGAACAGAATGATGGCCATTTCTGGAAATTCCTCGGCCCAGCCAGTTTCACCAGGGTTTGCGTAGGGTTTAGGGCTTTAGGGCTTTAAGGTTTAGGGTGTCGACTGCTATAGTCTCCCTTGTTGTGCCTTGTCCTGGTTTAACCCATTTTCGATTTCGGATCTTATAAAGTAACCCCAAAAAAGGAAGCTACAATGGAGACTATCGACTCTGGAACCCTAAACCCTAAAACCCCCCCCAAAAAAGGAGCTACAATCGAGACCATAGACCCTAAACCCTAAACCCTAAAATAATAGAGACCATAGACCCTAGACCCCCCCAAAAGACACTCGAATGAAAAACTGTAGGTAGCTCTTCTGTTGGTCTGGTGCTTAGGGCTTAGGGTTTAGGGTTTAGGGTCAGGGCTTATAGGACTTAGAGGCTTTACGGGGTTTAATAATGTTTATAAGGCTTATAGGGTTTATGGGGCTTATCGCGTTAAACGCTACCTTTGCGGAGGATTTATGCAAGGGAATCATGAGAAGGGGCCCGAAAATGGTTGGTTTTCTCGTGATTAAGGTGGGGTTTAGG